TGACCGTTTTGTTATGAAGTTCGAGGAATCTCGTTTCGTAAAGGGAGGAGAAAATTACCGAGGGGCGACGGAAGGAGAGCCGGGCGGTGAAAAGGAGATCGCGCAACGAAATTAGCAGAAAAGTTGTTTAATATAGAAAGTTGGCTAAGTCTTGAGAAACGGCTGAAAGAAGACGGCCATTGTGATCGCCACTTGTGCCGCGACTGGCGTCACAACTTCGCCAGGTTGATGCTCGTAATTTATTTATTTGCCAATTATTCTCCGTCGGGCCATTTCTCGTCGCGCGCCGAGCACCTCTCGGACCCGTTCGCGTGGCCAGTTTTTAAATTGATTCCGTCGGACGAATGGACTCGCTGGGCCGCGTAATTTCACTGAAAAGGCCAGGCCAGGGCAAGCCGGTTAAGGAGACTCGCCGTCGTCTTGTGTACGCAAACGAGCTTAGTTCCACCGATAAGCTGCGGTCAAAGGAACCGGGCTTCGGACTCGCGTCTTTCAATTACTTCTTCTCGTTCCTCGCCGTCACTCTGCGCCCATTAGATTTTAAATACTTGCACCATATTGTTATACAAATTAATGTAAACATTTGGTCAATAATATCATGATGTAAAAACATAAGGTGTGTTCTTCCGCCGTGTTCAAATGTGTCGCTGTTTGCGCCTTCCACTCATCGGCCATATTGGAAGTACGATGACCTATTGTTTATTTCAAACACGCATATATATTACACTCCGAGTACCTAATTTTTGACATGTTTACGATTTTAAAATTCGCTCTGTTTTAATATGAAGCGTGATTGGTTAGAAATCCAAAATGGCCAACGAGTGGAAGTGTCCGTGTACAGATGGATGTTCAAATGGATGCGCAAGAACACACCTTATGTTTTTACACCATGGTACAGGGTACAGGAACTTAAGCAAATGCTTAAGACGATCTTAAGAATAAGCAACGACTCTGAATACCGGCCTATGTTTTGTTTTTTCAATGCTCGATATGGCATCGATACTGTTTGATTTTAACATAATTTTGACGCATCAAAATAAAAAGAATTTTAATATAGGTGATGGTATTGTGCGTAGATTAAAATTATTTTTATTTTGACGCGTCAAAATTATATTAAAATCAAACAGTATCGATGCCATATCTAGCATTGAAGAAACAAAACAGATTTATCCCCCTATTCCTATCCCTCTAGGGGAAACTAACACAAGTCCGAGCTGGCTCATTGTAAGTTTTCGTGTCCCAAGCTGTTCCTCACAATTACTGTTGCATTGCGCACGTTGTACATATTTTGGAGACCGCTGCTGGTCAGACAACCATTACCATGCAAGCTGTGGGCCACAAAGTACTGAAAACACAACATGCCTATCATAACGGTAATCGCTATGAAGTGTAATAAAATTTGAACTTTTAGGCACACGTGTGCCTAACGCAACGTACGTTGCATCGAAGAACCAGTGCCAGCAGAGATAATTTTTGATCGCTTATAACTAAAAGATGGAGCCTTAGACACATTTTTTTATTCTTGATTTTTTTTATTCTGGCTTGAAGAATCACCTCTTACAATTTTTCCCGCCAGTAGCCGAACGCCCTGTATAAGGCATGATTGATGATAAAGAATAGAAG